ACAGCTACTGAGTAACTAATGAGAGGGTAGTATGTCTATCATGGATATGCTGGATAAAGGGATGATTGATCCTGGAGTGGACTGGACGGAGTGGGATGGCACACAATTTCTTCATGCTACTCAGAATGGTGTGCAATTAAAAACTTACAAATTGTTTATTTCTAGAACTTTCCATCTTATATTTTGGATTGTGGTTGACCACAGGTAACTGAAACTGTGGTAGACAAAACTGTGGATGGGTGATGGGGGAGACCAGTGTACTTTACATTTTTTATAACTTCTCTTTGAATAATGCTGAAGATTACTTATGAATCATTATGTTAGGCATGGAATCTGGATCTTTTTTTTTTTTTTTTTTTTGAGACAGGCTCTTGCCTTGTCACCCAGGCTGGAGTGCAGTGGCTCGCTCGCCACTCACTGTAACCTTGACCTCCTCGGACTCAAATGATTCTCTTGCCTTAGCCTACCTAGTAGCTGGAACTACAGGCACACACTGCCACAAATGGCTAATTTTCATATTTTTGGTAGAGACGGGGTTTCACCATGTTGCTCAGGCTGGCCTTGAACTCCTGGGCTCAAGCGATACACCCACCTCAACCTTCCAAAGTGTTGGGATTACAGGTGTGAGCCATCATGCCCAGCTGGAATCTGGAGGTCTCTGGGGAGAATTTTGGACTTTATTTTGTATGTAGCAAGGGCTACTTTTTGAGTGACTTTTCATTAATTATATATTTTCTTTATATCATTCCAGGCAGGTTAGTAGTTAGTTTTTGTTTGTTTGCTTATTTGTTTTTACTTATTTTATAGCTGAGAAAACTGAGGTTTAGATTTTCACCAGTTTTTTGAGGAGGTTGTGGCAGATCTTTCCAGATCTAAAGCCTATACTCTTTCTACTACACTAGATTGTCACTGTAAGGAATTAGGGAACAAATAGAAAAGGGGCAAGAGGGTGAATAGGGAGACCCATTAGTAGGGAGTTACAAAGTTACAAAGATTTTTAGTGAAAGATAGTGGTGGCTTTGACTAGGGTGTTTGATAGGAGAGATCAAGAAATACCCATGTATTCAAGATAATTTTGCCTGTAGAGTTGATAGATTGGATACAAATGATGAAGGAATAAGAAATGTTAAGAAAGACTTCTAGGTTTCCGTTTTGAGCTTCTTTAGTGGATAAAGACGCTAATTACTGTGATAGGAAAGACAGGAGTTCTGAGGATGCATGAAGATGGAAATGTTGAGAAGGCCATTGGCTATAAATCTGGAGGTCAGGGGAACAGATGTACTATATTATAAATTTTTTTAAAGTTATGGTAACGGGTGACATCTCCTAGGAAATAGTATCTATAGAGTAAGGAAGAGAAGTAGACCCAGGTCAATCCCTGGAAAACTTCATAGTCAGGTACAAAAGGAAGAGTGGTGGAAAAGAGGAGAAAAAGAAACAGAATGTAGTATCATATAAATCAAGAGAGGAAATCATGTCACCCACAAAAGGGGGAATGATCAACAGTGTTGAGTGCTGCTTGAAGGTGCAGTATTATAAAGAATTTTTTTTTGTTTTTTGTGTCTATGTTATTTTGATAATTTACATTAAAATATTAATTATTATGAGTACATAATAGCTGTATGTCTTTATGGGGTACATGTGATGTTTTGATAAAGGCACACAATGCATAATAATCAAATCAGGGTAAATGGGATATCCACCATCTCAAGAATTTATTGTTTCTTGTATTAGGAAGGAATTTAAAAGTCAATTGTAGGACTTCCAGTTTCCAGTGCAGCAATGTAAGAATCTTAGAAGTTGTCACTTTGTCCTAACAACAAGTAAAGTGCTGAACAAACTGAAAAGTCACCAGTTTTTCTTGGGTCCGTCAGAGAAGTAAGGTCATAGAGAAAACTGCTGCACCAAATATTAGAGAGACAGACAGGAGGATACAGAGAATCACAACCTACCAAAACAGAAACCCATGAACAGAAACCTCCATGGGAACCATTGCCAGGATAGAAAAACCTAAACAGTGTTGATGAATTGCTGGAGGCTCAATATGGACAAATCTGAGAGTCCTAGGTGGTCCCCTTGCCACTTTTGTGAGTTTTACTTCCAGGAGCTCTACCATCAGGTCTTCACAGTAAATGTTAGAGTAAAATCCTCTCATGCTTCTAGCAGTGGGAGGAGAAAGGAACTATTTGAAACAGAATGCTAGAACATTCAAGTTTTTTGTTTTTGTTTTTGTTTTTTGTAAGAAGGCCTGGCCTCAGGAGAAAGTGTTTTTCCAGAACCTAACCTGCTGGGGGACCTATGTAGCAGACAAACTGGTTCTAAAGTTTATATAGAGAGGGAAAAGATACAGAATAGCCAACTCAGTATTGAAGGAGGAAAAGTCAAAGGACTGATACTACCTGTGTTTAAGACTACTGTAAAGCTATAGTGATCAAGACGGTGTGGGTTTGGTAAAAGAATAAACAAACAGATCAATTGAACAGAATAGAGAGAGAACTCAGAAATAGACCCATAAAAATATAGTCAACTGATCTTTGACAAAGGAGCAAAGGCAATATAATGGAGAAAAGTTGGTATTTTCTACAAATGGTGCTTGAATAACTGGATCCCCAAATGCAAAAACATGAACCTAGACACAGACCTTATACCCTTCACAATAATTAATCAAAATGGGTCATAGACCTAAATGTAAAATGCAAAACTATGAAACTTCTAGAAAATAACATAGGATAAAATCTAGGTGACCTTGAGTATGGTGATGACTTTTTAGATAGAATACCAAAGGCACAATTATAAAAGAAATAATTGATAACCTGGACTTAATTAAAATAAAAAAACTTCTGCTGTATGAAGGACAATGTCAAGATAATGAGATAACAAGCCACAGATTGGGAGACAGTATTTGCAAAAGACATATCTGATAAAATATTTTCAACCAACATAGACAAGCCTTAAAACTCAACAATAAGGGCCAGGCATAGTGGCTCATGCCTGTAATCCTGGCACTTTGGGAGGCCAAGGCAGGCAGATTGTTTGAGCTCACGAATTTGAGACAAGCCTGGGCAACATTTTGTACTTTTTTGTAGAGACAGAATCCCTGTCGGGAGGCTGAGATGGGAGGATCGCATAAGCCTGGGACGTTAAGGCTGCAGTGAGCCCTGACCACACCTTTGCACACTGCTGCCTGGGTAACAGAGTGATATCCTGTCTCAAAAAACAAAAACAACAACAAAAAAACCCAATCAAGCAAAAACCCTCAAGAATAAGAAAAAGGAAAACCCAATGAAAAATGGGCCAAAGACCTGAACAGACACCTCACAAAAGAAGATATACAAATGGCAATAGTTTATGAAAAGCTGTTCAACATCTTATGTCATTAGGCAATTGCAATTGCAAACTAAAACAACAGTGAGTGGCTGGGTGCTGTGACTCATGGCTGCAATCCCAACATTTTGGGGGACTGAGGCAAGTGGATTGCTTGAGCCCAGGATTCAAGACCAGCCTGGGCAACATGGCAAAACCCTGTCTCTA